TTCATATCTTCCCTATCAAATCCCGCTATCGGAATCCTTCCCTGGTACTTTTTCATTTCTGAACTATTAAGAGCAATTTTTGTTTGTCCCAAACAAACTAGCATTTATTGTTTAGGTTTTTTTTTTTTTGTATAGCTTCGTGAGTGGAATTATATGTCCCCACCCGTATTAAAAGCTCTTCTTTCTTGTCCTCTCCAGGGCCTAGCACAGGACTGGTCATGCATCACAGCTCAGTAAAAACTTGTTGGTTGTTTTTGGAACACTTGGTGTTTTTAGAGAATATTTTTGCTAGAGGAATGATTTTTCTGAAGCCTAGTATCTTATAATTCACTTACCTGCCATTCAAACTTGTGTCAGTCTTAACTGGAGCCAGAACCCAAAACCTGCAAACGCAAAAGGACCTCTAAGCATTGAGAAGTAAAGCTGTTATAAAACCTAGGGACTTGACTGCATAGGAGAGAGGTGTTGTCATCATCCCCCTAACCACTGGGTATTGACATCTGCAATCATGTGTAAGACAGAACAGTATATCTTTGATTACCTGGTCCAGTGCCCTCATTTTGCAGGTATAGAAGTTGAGAGCCAGAGAATGTTACTTGCCTGGAGTCACACAGCCAGCTGGTGCTACATCAAGAGTTACAGCTCCCTTCTCCTGATTTCTACAGATTTAATGGTGCTGCTCTTCTGATGCTGCATTTGAGATACTGTATCGCAGTGGGAAGAACATTGGGCTTGCAGTCAGGAGGCCTGTGTTCAGACCTGGCTCTGACACTTCCCTGAGTAATCATGGACAAGCTACTAAATCCCTCTAAGCATTAGTTTTCTTATTTGTAAAATGGTCATAATAATATTACTTGCTTCCTGTTGTAAGGGAAATACATTGCAAATTTTAAAACATTTAAAAAATGACCATTATAGTTGTTTAGTGTGCTTTCTGCTATACCACAGCTGCATCTTGAATCAAGTTGTATACTTTCAGAGTTGAGGGCTATTGTACTATAGCACAGAACAGCAAATTTAATGGACAATTACTAAGCACCTCTGTGCAGAGCATTGTGTTGAAGGCACAACATTTAGATTAAATTCTACACTCTCTGCCTTCAGAGAACTTATGATAAAAATTGGGTATACCAGCCATCCACAAATAAATATAATAAAAGATAGAATGTGATTGGGATAAAGGAGAAGTAGAAACATAGTGTTCTAAAAAAGTTTGAAGAGAGAGAGAGAGAGATCGCTTTCAGCTTGGGCATCAGGGCAAACTACATGGAGGGAAGGCCCTGAAAGAATAAAAGGATTTTAGCAGGTAGAGCTAAAGAAGGAGGTTGTGATAATTCAGTTGGTTTTTTTTTCCTGCTGCACCATAGCTATATTTTTAATGAGGTTGTAGAATCATGGGATCTCAGAGGTCATCCATTCCAGCTTAAATGTGTGCAGAAATCCATTCTGTGACTTGTCTGATGAGTAATCATCTAGTCTCTGCTTGAAGACCTCTTATGATGGAGAATCCTTGTTGATTGGATGCCCTGCCTGAAAACATGGAGGCATGAGAGGGCATGATGAGCTTGGGGAACATTGAGTAGTACATTTTGGATGTGACATAGCACATATGAAGGAAGAGTATGGAATAAGCTTGAAATGGTGGCACAGAATCTTAGGATTAGGTTCAACCTGTGCCCAAAGATGAGTCCCTTCAGTGATCTCCTTAGCAAGTGGTTGGTTGTCATGCAGCCTCTATTTGAAGTCCTCTAGTAAGTTAGAACCCACCTTTGGATGTCCAATTGTTAGATATTCCTTCTATCCAGCCTAAATCTACCTCTGCAGCTTTCCCCCCTTTGGTCCCAGTACTGGTTCCTGGGGCCAAGCAGAACAAGTCTAATCTGCCTTCCATGTGATGTCTCTTCTGATATTTGAAGATGGTTTTCTGTGTCTACTAAGTTATCTTTTCTCCAGGGTAAATACTGCCATGTGGTATAGGATCTTAGAGTCAGCTGGGAAGAGACCTTAGAGGCCACCTAATATCCTCATTTTACAGATGGGGAAACTGAGGGTCAAAGAGGTTAAGTGACTTGCCCAAGGTCATACAGTTTGTAATTGGTAGATCTAGGATTTGAACTGAATACATTGTGCCATGCTGCCTGATCTCAAGGCCTTTTATCAACCTGGCTGTCTTCCTCTGGATGCTCTTCAGCTTGCCAATGCCCTTTCTGAAATGAGGTGCACAGACAGAACACAGTACTCTAAATGTATTCTGATGTAAGGCAGAGTACATACAGCTGAACTGTAACATCCTTAGTTTTTAAATATAGGCTAAGATCACATTAGCTGTTTTTGATCTCGTGTCACACTGTGGGCTTAAATTGAGTTTTACAGTCTGCTAAACCCTTGGATCATTTTCAGATGAACTGTCTAGCCAAGCCTCCTTTTTCTGTATTTGAGAAGTTGACTTTTTGAACCCAAGAATAAAACTTTATATTTATCCCTGTCAAGATCTTTCATGTTAGCTTTCTCCCCCAAGATAGGAGTGAAATAGTTTGGTGGCCTAGTAAACACTAGGCGAAGTTATTTGTTTTAAATTCTCTTTGAGCAGAGGAGTGACATAGTTCTATATTTTGAGAAGGTTTGGTCATCTTTATGAAAGATTATTTAGAGAGGAAAGGGGGGGTTATAATAATAGTGTAGTTGAGAAGTGATGAAGGCCTTAACAGGACAAGTAATTGATGTTCAAAATGAAAACTAGATCATAAGCAATTTCTTTCAGTAAACATTAAATTCCAGACACATTCAATAAACATTTATCAAGGGCCTTCTGTGCTCAATCAGTCAATAAACATTTATGAAGTACCTGCTATATGCCAGGTGCTGTGCTAAGTGTTGAGGATACAAAAAGAGGTAAAAGACAGTCCCTGCCCTCAAGGAGCATACAATCCAGTGGCACTATGCTAAACCAGGCACTGTGTTAGTTATGCTGGAGATTGAAAAAAAAAGACTACATAGTAGTCCCTGTAATAAAGGAACTTGCATTCTACTAACCAGTTAAGACATTATACAAACAACTAATTCCAGGTGTGATAGAGAAGTAAAACAGTCGTAAAACAAGGTGTTGGATCACTTCAGGCTAAAGGAATTATGGAAGAAATTCTGGAAGAAGTAGCCTCTCAATTGGGTCTTGAATAAAAGGAGAATTTCAGTGGACAGAATTGTGGGGAAGAGTGTCTTCCCACCATGACATTCCCCCTCTCCCATTAGCTATGTGATTGGGCATATTATTTCCTTCTGTCATTATTTTCTTCCCAGAGTAAGAGCTGCCCTATCTCCCTCACAGGGTTGTGATGAGAATCAAGTATGGTCATATATGTGAATACACTTAGTCACCATAAGGTGCTATATACACATAAGTAGTTATCCCACAGGCTGGTTGAATAGAAAAGCCTTAGTGTGTGAAGCTGCTGCAGGGTGTCAGGTAATATTATACAGTCAAATCCTTAGCTCCTGGACAGCTTGAGGAGGAAGGGTGGGATAGGCTGCTTGGGGATGGCTTCCTGGGCCTTCCTCAGGGCCTTAAAGTTGGTATGATTTGCTCCTTGGTGCTACTTTAAAGTTGGTTTCATTCCTCACTGACATGGTGGTTTATGTTTTTCAGGTGTTAGTGGGGTAGATGGGGAGCCCTTCAGGGTCTTTGTCTGCCAAGACGGTCTCAGGAAGAGCAAGGCTCAATGATCCAGCCCCTAGGATGGACCTGTGTATGTAGTCAGGGCTCATTGAATAGCTACTAAATTGCATAAAACCTCTTCTCTAGAAGGCCAAGTTGGCTATGCCAAGATTAGCATTGAAAACAACTAGACAGCAGTTCAGGAAGGGGAGAAGTTTGTGCTTAGATGAAAGCATAATAGTCCAGACCTCTTTTTCATACTCACTTTATACCTTCACAGTTTTTCCCTGAAGGGGCTAATACCCAAATGCAAATTTAGAACTCCTTGTCACTTAGAATTTGATTCCTTGGGGAGGCGGCGTGGTGTGTGGGGGAAAAAAACAAAACAAAACACTGGACTGGAGTCAGAAATCCTGAGTTCTTGTTCTGGCTGTGCCACTTACTGTGGAATCTTAAGAACCTTAACTTCCCTGGGCCTCGGTTTCCTTCTCTGCAAAATATGAGCAACTATGAACGTTGTTCACTTTGTATAAAGCCTGCTATAGACAACCTAATTTCCTTTACCTTAATGTTCCTCAATTTGTCAGACATTTGTTGCAGACTGCATAGGTTCCCCATTGGAGCAGCAATCCTTGGTCTTTTAACCTGTTCTTTTTAGGTGATCCATTCTAGTTTACAAAAATAGAGGGTGGGTATGCATACAAATAATAATGATGATAGCTGATGTTTCTAAATAATCACAGCTAATATAGTTTTCAAAGGTTTTTACAAACCACCTCATTTGATCCTTGCAGTAGTCCTGTTCAGTAGCTAATGCAAATGTTATTACCTGTACAGATGAGGAAATTGAGGCTTAAGGAATATGTAAATTGTCCTAGGTATTATATAATCTCCATTTCATTTATGTGGCTTAGGATTAGAACCCAGGTCTTCTGACTCTAATTCCATTGTTCAAATGTTCTGGACAAACTTTCCATAACATTTTTTTCCTTTTTTTTCCCCCTCTGCTTTCCAGTTCATAACGTTCTGTGCTTGTAAAACAGCATTGTGGATACTGGAGAGAGCCACCCACAACTTAGACAGTAAAACCTTGATTAACCGGAACTCAGCTAACCGGTATTTTTGTGAGGGTGGAAGGAAGCTGCAGGCGGAAGGCAGGGAGAGCTGCCCCCAACCACCAAGAAGCCTTGAAGTTCAAAGCAAAGTTCTGTGATTGGTTGCTTCATCGACTGAGAAGATCTGCCTCCCCAAGTCAGAGAAGCTCTGCATGTGGTCTGGGAACTGAACAAGTTGCTAAAAAAGTGGATTTCTGTGAGCACTTGAGTGCAGAAGACGGGGGAAGCTGAGGCAAACGGGTGGGGGTCTTGGGCAGTGGGAGGAGAAGGAAGGAAAACTGGTGGGAAATGGGAATAAGGACAGGGCAAGAAGGGAAGACCAAGTGTTGGTGAAGTGGAGAGGTAGCCAGGAACCTTGGGAGAAAGGAGTGTGGGTGGAAGCTGTGAGAGGAAAATTAAAAGGAAGGAGAGGAAAACCTCAAGCAAATTGAAAGAGAGAGGGGGGCAGTGAGGTGAGAGGAGAAAAGCCAAATCAATACTGTGTGCAAGGAGAGCATACACCTCTATTCCTCTGTAAGTCACAGTGTGTATAAGCCATCCACTCCCATGGCTTCCAAACAGCCCGTAGTGAAGAACAAAGGAGAGAAGCGTAAGAGAGTTGTGCTGACCTTAAAGGAGAAAATTGATATCTGTACACGTCTTGAAAAGGGTGAGAACAGGAAAGCTTTGATGCAAGAGTACAATGTTGGCATGTCTACCTTATATGACATCAAGGCGCACAAGGGACAGCTGCTGCGGTTTTTTGCTAATTCGGATTCTAACAAAGCCCTTGAACACCGCCGCACACTGCACACCCCTAAACTAGAGCATCTAGATCGGGTTTTGTATGAGTGGTTCTTGGTGAAACGGTCAGAGGGAGTCCCTGTCTCGGGCCCAATGCTCATTGAGAAGGCTAAAGATTTTTATGAGCAGATGCAATTAACCGAGCCATGTGTTTTTTCTGGGGGATGGCTTTGGAGGTTTAAGGCACGGCATGGCATCAAAAAGCTAGATGTTTCCAATGAAAGACAGTCAGCAGACCACCAGGCTGCAGAGCAATTTTGTGGGTTTTTTCGAAGTTTAATTGCAGAGCATGGTTTGTCCCCTGAGCAGTTTTACAATGCTGATGAAACTGGCCTGTTTTGGCGTTGCCTGCCAAATTCGACTCCCGAAGGGGCCAGTGCCTCAGGTCTGAAGCAGACCAAGGACAGATTGACTGTCCTCATGTGTGCTAATGCTGCAGGCTCCCACAAAATCAAACCTTTGGTGATTGGAAAGTGTAATGGTCCCAGGACTTTCAAGGGAATTCAGCATTTACCTGTTGCTTACAAGGCACAGGGTAATGCATGGATGGACAAAGAAATTTTTTCTGATTGGTTTCATCATATTTTTGTACCTTCAGTCAAAGATCATTTTAGAAATATAGGCTTACCTGATGACAGCAAAGCCATTCTTCTGCTAGACAATTCTCGAGCCCACCCTCAGGAAGCAGAGTTAGTCTCTGATAACATTTTTACCATCTTCCTGCCTGCCAGTGTTACCTCGTTGATTCAGCCTATGGACCAGGGCATTAGGAGAGATTTCATGAGAAATTTCATCAATCCTCCAGTCACTGTACAAGACCTTCAAACTCGTTACAACATAAGTGATGCCATTTTTAATGTTGCTTGTGCCTGGAATTCTGTTACTAGTGAAATACTAAGGCGGGCATGGAGAAAATTGTGGCCTAGTGTTATGTTTGCAGAAGTATCTTCTGATGAAGAAGAATTTGACCGATTTAGAGTAAGGCCTCCAAATAACACACTGGTGCAGATCCTTGAAATGGTGAAGGATCCTCCTTCACCTCCAGTCAACAAACTGAATAAAAGTGAAGGAGATGAGTGGGCTGATGCTGACCAAGAAGGTGAAGTGTCACAGGGTGTTAGTGACACAGAAATAGTAGAAACTGTTTGGAATCCTGACAATGGAACTGATTCTGAAAAAGACAGTGATGGAGAAGATTTTAGGGAAGGGGAGAAAACATCTTGGGAAAAAGCTGCTTCATCCTTTGATTCGATTATTAGTTTTGCAGAAAAGCAGCCCGTGTTTTACAAACCAGGAGATTATGCAGTTGCATATGCTGCATGCTATTTTTATGCGACAGAGGCAGATGGCAAACAAACAAACTGAGATCAGGGATATAGTCAAGATAGAAAATCCCAGGGGTTATCCTGGAGTTTGCACTGATTCAGCCCAATCTCCTATACCATCTACATCTACAGCACTGTATAGTGATAACTGATAGTGATTTTGGTGTCCCTGAGGCCCTGTGAGATCTTAAATCATCAGAGAAGAATTCAGTTATATCCAGCAGGCTATATTTTTACTTAGGCAAAATAAGTGGACTTTTAGACAGATTTTCCACGGGGGTTGGTTAAAACCAAAGGTTGCGCATTGAATCTGGAAATTCATTTAATTGGAACAGCCCAAACTCTCTGTGCATTCCGGTTAATCGAGGTTTTACTCTATTGCCCTTTATGTAGTGTGAGGAACTCCTAAAGGAAAACAGTAGAACCGAAAGGCTTTTTCTTTGTAGCACAGAACTGAGTGTAGTGCAAGCCTATATTTTATCTTTCAGAAAGCACTTCCCATACAGAATCTCTGTACAGTAGTAACAAGATCCACAAAGATAGAGCTTAGTGTAGAAGTGGGGTATGTGTAAGGTGTTCAGGTTACCACAAATCAGTGTCTACAGACCTTTTCCTTGTGGGGATTAGATGAGACTTAAGGCCTTGTTGCTTTTCTGGGTTTTTAACTGGAGAGAGGGGCTTGGAACATCTGACTTTGACAAGTTTATTAGGTAGCATAAATCCTTCAGACTGAACTTAAGTGAGATTCTGTGAATGAGTCTCTGGAGGGCTTGGGGCCATCACATTCCCACTGGAAATAAAAATAGTCTATTTCAGTTTTTGAGGTAATATTTCTAAGAACTCAGAACAAATAATATTCCCAGCTTAGTATAATTACATTCCAGTAGAAAGAAATTGCTCTGTGACCTTGGGAAAGTCAGTCTCTACTCTCACTCCAAATACCTGTTCTTCCTATCAGTAAAATTGGGAATTAGATTAGATGACCTCTAAAGCCCTTTTTCCAGCATTCCATGATTCTATGGAAATACATTTTTGGCAGTTTATATTTGAAACAAGGCACTAGCAGCAAGGTACAGCCACTCTGAATGTTAAAATAATTCCTTCCCAAGGATATAAGAAATGCCATCTTAAATCAGACTGCTCCTCTGTCCAGCCCAGTGTGGGGACTCTGATGGGTATTTTGCCTTCTATTGGGTGACTTGGGTCAAGTTACTTCCTTTCTCTGGGGTGTTTCCTTACCTCTAAAAGGAAGGGTTTTGATGAGGCAGTCTTGAAGTGCCCTTCTGTCTTTAACTTTCTATAATTGATATGTTAATTTTGTGGGGGTAGAGGTTATGTACTCCAGAGTCTTCTATATCACATTCCCAGGAATTTCATTTGGTCCCATTTCTGGATTTTGGTAATGTCTTTAAATCCAGACCAAGACTGAAGAAGTTTCTTTAGTTTCTGTTGTATGTAAGTTGCTGAATTTCCTTGCCAAGAAATATACAGTGATTATTTGAATTATCCTTTGTGGCCTTGGACATTCTTATCTCAGTATTGAAAAGTCTGGCTGCTTTTTTCCCTTTTATTGTTAGGCCAATTTTGTCAAAAGATTTAGTATTTTTTCCCATTTATACCATGTTAATCTTTGACTTATAAACGGTTAAATGCATACCATGAACCATATATATCCCTACTTAAGACCCCCTCCCTACATACCAGCGTTTCTAGGAAACACGCTAAATACTTGTATTTTTCCATTCTTTTTTTCACTCCTGGGTCGCTAACTCCCATTTAACTTTGGATTAATGTTGTGGCAATGGAATCAGCACATACTTTTCATTCCAGGGTTTCCTATCCTTTCCACCAAGAGGCATTTAAGACCTAGTGGATAAAATTTTGTCCACAGCCTGTTTATAACTATTTCTACATATTTCTTGCGTTAAATGAAATAATCCTACAAAATATAAATGCATTGTGTATTTCTTGCTTTATATGCATGTGTATAGATTATGCAATATCTCAAATAGCTTCTAAAAAATTTCATTATTGCTAAAGTCAAATTGACTTTGTTCCCTTATTACTCCTACGTCACTTGCTGTTGAGTCCCAATGTGTCTTTGAGATGATGTTTGTATATCCGTGTATCTTTGTGCTGTTTCTGTGCTCTTCCCTGTTGACCCTTCTACAAAAGACCGTTAGATTCACCTCTGCTTAGGGAAATGACATGCTGGATGCTGTAGTGATTTAAAGCCACTGCTCTCCTCTTTCCCTCTTTATTGCTAGTAACCCTGAATGAAGGGCAGCTCATTCAAAAGACCCCTTCCCTGAGGCAGTTACCTTCTATTCAGACCTCAAGGTCTTTAAAAAGGAAAAAAGTGAGCTTTGTAATTGTCTTTTTATGAAAATCTTGATAATCAGGAGGACATAGGATGAATGCTGCCTTAAGTAAGATACCGAGTTCCTGAACTCCAGCTGGAGGTGTTCAAACTCCTAGTAAAGTGCTTTGCTGTGCTTATTGAACTGAACAGAATGCAAGGCCCACTGCTGTCAGGGATGTCATTGGGGAGATTCATTTACAGATGTCCCCTCTGACTCCGACTCTGTGATTCTGTGAGTTCTTGTTTTGGTTTCCTATGTGTGAATCCTGTCTCCAGCCAGATTGTAAGCTCTTGGTGAGCAGGAGTTATGTCTATTTCAGCATCAGTCACAGGCTGAACATATGGTTGATGATCAATAAATACTTGATTGATTGAGGGGATGTGTCTCCCAGAGGTTCTCATCTTGATAGCCCTATGCGGTATCCCAGAAAGATGATGGGAAGACTGTATTTTATAGTAAGCTTACCAAATGTCATATTATCTCTATTTTGGTAAAGTTACCAGTACCCTGATGATGAAATACTGGGATATGATGACACGTGATCCTTCCTTTTTCCATTGGTCACTTATAGTACTCTGACCCAAAAGCTTAGTCCTTTTTGGATTAAGTTTGGGATTGTTGCCATCGCCCTTTCCTCCGTATCCTACCTTAATAGGAGGTCCCCAGTAGCTTCATTCATAGACAAACTGATCATAGTGCACAAACTACTCTATGTGGTATGCGAGGATGATTAGTGTATGGATAATTAGCACATTACAAATACATAGAGTAGTACCTTTTGCCAGACTTAAGAGATTCTGTTATTTCTGAATTGGTCTACTCAGAAGTTCGACTCCTGCCTGGCCTTGGCTTTTCTTTCTTTAGCTCCCTGAAAAGCCAGGTTTCTTTTTGTGGGTTTTGTGCAATCTCAAAAATGTGTTCTCTTTGTCTCAGAAAGTTGGCTTCACCGCTCAATACTTGATCTTTACTATTTGGTTTTCAGTCTAGATCTCCTAATGGCCCCAAAGTGATAATACCACTCAGTTCCCTCTCAAGCCTTTTTTATGGGGCAAATGCCCAGTTTCTCATTTTTAATCCAGTTCCCTCCCTTCTCCATTCGCTGATGCATTCTGTGACTAATTCAGATGCTGGCTGCTCATTGCTCTGGTTTTATTATACCTCTGTTGTTCAGGAATATGCCTAGATATCTTATTTTTCACCTGCCTACGGAGGAAATGTGATGTGGGAAAAAAAAACTTACTGGGAGCCAGGAGACTTGGGTTCTAGTCTCAGCTTGGGCCTCTATTTTTGTTTTGTGATTAATCATTTCTGCATATATAAAATGGATTAGGCATAGAGGGAGAAGGGGGATTAGAAGACTCCTAGGAACTTTTCTAACCATAGTATCCTAATGGTTCCTCATAGCCTTTCTTCTGATTTTTTCTTTAGTCTTTGATAACGGAATTCTGGAAATTCCAGTGGAGGTCTTGAATTGTTACTCAGGTGTGCTCTTCACATTTAGCCTTTTTATGCTTTCTTCAACTATCTAACCCATACAAATAGAACTTCCAAGTACATACAAAGGATGAGCTGAATTTTGACAGGTGATTGCCAGGTTAATGACCTCTGTTCCATTGTTGGGATAGGCTAAGTGATGGTAGTAAGGGGTCACTCATAGAGCCCTCGTATTGCTCAAAAATGACCCAACCAAAACTTTCCCTGTCAGATTTATTTGGGTTAATGTAACAAGCTACTCTTTTACTTCCTTGAAGTAGGACCTCTTACATTCATAACTTTGTGTAAATTTGTTTAGTAAGATTGCTTTGCTCCTAATCTCTAGTTGATGGCAATAATGATGTGGGGTTGAGAATCTGGATTAGGCTTGTGAGAGGAATTATTTCTTGAGGGGGACCACAGACCTGTGTGGAATGAATGTCAGGAGAGGAGCTCCCTACAGGGCCAAAAGAAGATTCCAGAACCCTGGTGAATTCATTATAAGATAGTTTCTGGAAGTTGGGTTAGAGCTAGAAAGGATGATTTCCAATCATTTTATTTTATAGGTTGTGAATGGACAAAAATCTTGTCTTTATTTAATTCATTGTGCTTTCTACTGCTCCACCGAGTAAAGCCTACTAGTTTTACCTGAGTTTCTGGTGTAGCATGTCATCTTCTGCTTAGAAAACAAATGCAGTGGGAAATGGGCCATTTATAAGTCATAAGGCTAATAGGATTGTTAGATGTTAGGACAGCAAGAGTGTAAATTAGGGATGTAAGGCTGTCTCTGTGGATTAGGGAGAACCTGGGATCTGGTCTTAGGCCTTACTCATAAACAATCAAATCATTCCCTCCTATTTCTAAAGCTTTCTTGTCTATAAAAGGTGGGAACTAGAAGGGGCCTTAGAGATCCTACTGTCTGAACCACCTTTTATAGTTGTGTAAATTTAGGTATGGAGAGAAGCAAGTGACTTGCTTAAGAGTGTACCTGCTAATGAGTGATCTCAAGTCTTTAGCTCTCAAGTTTAGTTCCTTTTCCAATAGTATAGGGATCTCTGGGTTCTTTTTCCATGTAATGTTATATGATCCTATGATAGATTTAAATTGATAATTGGAAGAAACCAGAAATTGACAAAATTTCTTGAGACAAGACATTCTGTGTGGAAATAACTGATCCTTAATAAGAACCTCAAAGCAGAACATCCCAGTTTCCCCTAAGAATGGTTTATGTCTCTGTTACCATGAATTCCCATGAATTTCCACGAATTACCATGCACTGGTAAAACATTTCTCCTACCTTTACCCTCTCTGGAGAATAATGTTACTGTTAAAAGTAGTGAAATCCTTTCCCCTAAATTTGCTCTCTCCATGGGAGCTCACTCCTTGAGATTTTCTGAGATTTCATGAATGACTTCCTCCTATATATACTTGATTTATCAAGTTTGTGGGTTTTGAGCAGATCCTAAGATTTTGTCTTTCCATACTAAAGAGTTATAGTTGACCCCTTTAATCTGTATTTCCATTGATTTCCTTGGTTCTTTTGGTTACCTTATTTGGATCTTCATCTCTATTTTATCAGTCAACTTGTGAACACTTGCAATGTGGTCTGGTTCCGGGCCACTTTCATAGTTCTAACATGATTATAGGTACAGTTGAGTGGAAAGAGCACTAGATTAGGGGTTAGGAGACTTGGATTCTAATCCTACCTTTGTTACTGACCATTTCACTTTTCCAAATGACAGTTTTTTCATTTTTGATGTGAGAGGATTGGGCATGTTATGAGACCTGCAGTTTTAACATTTTGAAATGAACTCAGATACTTAGAAACTCATCTGCCCACTCATCACACCCTTTGGTGTTTCACTCCTCAGAAAAGCTTAGTCTCTTCTAAGCTTGCAAATTTGGCTGCATATTCTGCCTTCCAGATCATTTATAAAATGGTTGAATAGTCCACCACCTATCCCTGGGACACTTCACGTATATTTCCTCCCAGAGAAGTGGCCGTTTTGAGCTCTTCCTGTCTTTCAAAGTGTGAAAGGCACTTTGGTTTAGTGGGAAAAAACACTGGATTTTGAGTCTTTTAAAAGACTTGGACTTGAGTCTTTACTGTCACTAGCTATGTGACTTTGGGCAAACCACTTTATTTTTATTTGAACCTTAGTTTTTTTCATTTATAAAGTGGGAATAATAGTGCACTAATCTCAGGACTGATTGTATGGATCAAATGCAATAATGTGTACGAAGGACTATATAAATGGTAGCTATTATATATGCCAGTTCCCTATCCATGATAGAGCATCTTTCCTTGCCTCCCCTCTTATGGTAACTCAAATTTTTAAATAGTCTTTGGTGTGAAACATTCCAGAAGGCATTTTGAGATGTTCTCTGGTTCTGTTTACTTGCTCAGAAAAATCTGAGATTAATAAGGCCAAATTTATCCTAGCAGAAAATGGGATGTCTTTCTTCCGGTAGGTAGGTTTTTTTCCCACTACTGTGACCCAGCTCTTTATTATAGTCTTCCAGATTTTTTGATCCAGAAAAATGTTTCACTAGTTTGTTGTTGGGAATTCTTTCCAGGACCCTGTTATAAATGGAACCTACACTTGCAGCCTCCCACTTCTCTGGCCCAGCAGGTATTGGTACTATATTGTTTTGTTCTCTTTGGCATACAGCCTCATGGTTTCTCCTGTGGGCCACGGTTTTGTAGAACCAAGTCCTTTGTGGACACCTTTTCTGATACTGTAGTCTCTTGACTTATGCTGTGATTCTAGGACACCAGAACCCTGAGGTTTTTTTTCTTTCTTTCTTCATGCTTCTGTCTAGCCAGATACTCCCTTATCCTCATACATACAGTTGATTTGGAACCCAAAGGCATATCTTATCATTTGTCCTTTCTGAATTTTATCTTGTTAGGTTTGGTTCCTTCAAAACATCTGGGTAGACGCCATGTAAGTCTTAGAACATCTACATCCAGATCTAGTACTGATAATCAGTTTTAACAGAGAAAATCCTTGGGTCGTATAGCAGAGAATTTATGCCAGGCCTCCTGTTTGATCCCTAATTTAAACTTTTTCACTATGATCATAAAATGATCTAATGGATTCGTTACTGATTTTTTTATTCCAATGTGTCTTACCAACCTCTTAATACTTTTGGAGGAACTTGCAGAATCTTTGTTGAATACTATTTGGACTACTTAATTTTTAGTCTTCATGTAACCTATCATAGTTTCCCGTTCCTCTTTTCCAGATTATTTTTTTGAAAAATATATTTTTCATAATAAAAGTTCTCAGAACAGAGAGGCTCATCACTAGAAAGGGAACAAGCATTTATTAAGCACCTACTATGTGCTTTACAAATATATCATTTGATAGAAAACTGGCTACCTGGTGATGCCTTAAAAAATTATTTTTAAGACCATATTAACTCTGAAATAGAATTTCCACCTGCTTTGATGGAGGTAGCCCGCACACCAGTGAAATTACTGATTCTTGAAGCCAGTAATAGAATTTCAGGTGACAGGGCTTTTAAAGGTTACCTCAGACCCCACTAAGCATGAATCCCTCTTACTGTCCTGCATGATGGGAAGGGAGTCCACTTCAGGAGACAATCTATTATTCCTTTTTAGGTTAGCTCTGATTATTGAAAGTTACTTATGTTGAGCCAAAATCTGCTTCCTTATAGCCTTCCATTGGCCCCGGGCCCTATGTCTGTCTTCTGGGGCTATACAAACCAACTTGCTGCTGTTTCTCTTTGATATCTTTGTATTCTAAATGTAATCTAAGGCATAATACAACAGGACTGTCACCCTTCTACCTTTGGACCTTGTTGAGCCTAATCAGTGTAGTCTCAAATCAAATGAATTCTTTTGGTGCTGACTCCTGTTAACTCAGGAGCAGCTAGATGGTGTGGTGGATAGAGTGCCAGGCCTAGGGTCAGAAAGACTCATCTTCTTGAGTTCAAATCTGGCCTCAAACACTTACTAGCTGTATGACCCCAGTAAAGTCACTTAACTCTTTGCCTCAGTTTCCTCATCTGTAAAATAATCTGGAGAAGAAGATGGTAAACCATTCCAGTATCTTTATCAAGAAAACCCCAAATGGGGTCATGAAATGTCAGCATGACTGAAAAAATGCCTGAACAACAACCCATTCACCCTGTAGCTTATTAATCAGGCTTTCTTCCTTCCCTCCCTTCCCCATTCTAGGTCATTGTCATATGAACTGTCCCATATCTTCTGCATCTTGTACTTATGCAGCTGGTTTTTTGAACATAAGTGCAGAACTTTACTTTTTACTTAGAAAAACCACGTATTAACATCTTTGTTCCATTATATTTTCATTTATTTTGTTAAATATTTCACAGTTGCATTTTAATCTGGTTTGGGCTGGGCTGTTGGAACACTTAGGATCTATTGCATCAGCTGTTCTTTTCAGCTTTTATAGGATCTGTGATCACAGATTGAAAATTAGGAGGGACCTGAAAACCAGCCAGGTATAACCTTGACTTACTAAGGCCCAGAAACTGTGAGATGCATTCTTGTGGCCATGCAACTACAAGTGCCCTTTAGCTTCTGGCCTCCTGACTTTTTTCCTCTCGCCTTCCAAAAAAATGTGCAGGTTTTATCATCATTTGCCTTCCAAAAAATGTGCAGGTTTTATCCTCGTTTTTCAGTTGAAACTGAGGCTCAGAGAAGTCAGGTGACTCACATTCAGGAACCGAGATAGTAAATGGAAGGGCCAGTACTGAAATCCTGGTCTTCTGACTCCAACTTCTCTCTCTCAGCCTGTGAAAGGGTGAGGACCAGAGGAATCTGGCCAGAGCAGAGGGAGCCTGCTCAAGCTTGGAGAATCAGTGAGGTTTTGTATATCATCTGCTCATTTCCTTGTTTGACCCTCCTCAGATTGACCCCTACTCTGTTTTCATCAAAACTTCCTTTAATAGAATCCTAGACTTTCCTGTTATCCTGTCTTTTTCATTGCAAGTGTCCTGGACATATTCAGTATCCCCTTTCTTTACCCTTCTCACCTACCTTTCTCTATCTGTTGAAATTCCTGGTTTCCTTCAAGGCCAAACTCAGGTACCACCTCTTTCATGGGCCTTCCCTAATACCCACCCCTAAGGAAGGATTGCACTCCTGAAATTTCTCATGTCAGTTTACCTACATCTCTGCTTTATGCTTACTCTACTTTTTTCTTATTTATAAATATTTTCCTTACATTATGGGATTACGAGCACCTTGAGCAGTATTGGTGTCACGTCAGTCTTTGACATATTGTGTGTCCCTCATGGCAAGTACAGTCCCTTGAACATGATAAGCACTTACGTGTTTATTTGAATTGAAGTAGATGATGCTGGAAAAGTAAAGTCCTACAAAATGGCCCCAATTGACTTTTCCGGCATCTTACTCTGTTGTTTCCCTACGTGGACATTCTGTTTCATCCAGACTCTTCTTACTACACCCATAGGCATGGCCATACCCATTTCAGCCCCCATATCTTATTTGTACTGGCTCTTCCTTTTATCCAGATCCTCTCCATCCTTCAAAGCCTTGTTCAGATTTTGCATCCTAAGAGAAGTCTTCCTTGACCGCTTCACTCCATAGTGATTGGCCCCTCCTCTGAACTCTTGTAGCAGTTACTGTCCATACCA